ATTATTTGCAATAAATGAAATTTAAAAAAAAAAGTACGCAAATAACTTGTAGTGGAAATAGTGTATTGTTTGTATTACTTCGAAAATATGAAGGTAATATATTTGCGATTGTCGAAAGAATATAATTTTAAATTTGTGAATGATATTTGAATTCGTACTACTTGCTAATAAATAATTAATGTCTTTTAACACCATGTTCCGCGTAATATTCAACGCTGAAGTATTCACATTTTGTCCCCTTGGTGATTAGAGAACAATAGATTGGGTGTCGCAGCAGGGCGTCGATCAGAAATGAAAACAAAAAATATTGTAACAAGTATTTTTTTATTACAAAAGCATCACTAGAACTCTAAGTAATTACAACTGTCAAAATTCTGTAGTTCTATCTTATTTATTGCAAGATCCTGTTCCGGTAACGAAATCTTTGATTATTTTCTTATATTCTGAACAATAAAATTTATACAATATGCGTGCTGAGTTAGTAAAAAAAAATAATTTTATTTAAGATAAGTTATTTATCATTATAAGAGGTCATTAGTGTCATGAGTATTTTTATCATGCTACTATAGCGGTCGAAGCACTTGTATTTAATCCGCAGGTACCGTCACCTCTATACACTCTGTAATAGCCTTGTTCACCCCATCGGGGGCCCCAACTATTTTTTATAATCCAATATGGTAATTCTTTGTTGAAGAGAGGATACTCTAAGAAATGAAAAGAAACAAAAAAGTAATATTATTATTCCAATTTCTGGATTATCGATTATAATTAAACTGAAAATGCATAAAACTTACTGCTCATGCCATATCCTACTATTAAAACGCCGTGATCCAAGTCCTTCGGGTTACATAAAAATTTATATGGATGCGAAACACCGCCAAGGTAAAACTGCATAGCATTAGCATTGATTGCAATAGAGATTGGACCATTCTTAACTAACCACTGTGCCATTTTCGTTTCATTCGATGAAATATTCAAAGCACCGACAACTTCTACGACAGCTTTACCTTTATCGAAATGGCACTTCTCATTTCTAGCATCGTAAGGGTAATCCGTTTCCGATTCGAGACCACCCAATTGTTCTATGGTTCTATAAGCATTGTCCATTTCTCCACCCATGCACCCGCTATCCGCTTTATCGCAATCCACTAATTCTTGCTCGGATAGTGATAATAATTTTCCATGTTTAATTGCATATTGTCCTTCTACGTTTCCAGTAGTGGAAAATGCCCAACACGATCCACACGAACCCTGATCTTTTACAGGAGTTACCGCGTTATGAGTACGCCAATCAAATTTGGGTGGCAAATCGATGTCCGGAATCTTAGCTTCGGGAAAAGGTATTGCATTTTTCTGCCGCAACTCTGGTCTATAACCCAAGTATCTGCTTTTAAATTCTTTCGACGTTAAATCCGCAAACATTGTAACACCATACTCGGCTGTGCCCTGTTCATATTTCTGTAATTCTTCTATACGTTTTAAATTTTTTTTAAAAACGTTTAAACGCATTTGCTTTTCCTCGGGCGAATCATACTTTTTCCCATATTCGTCAACGAAACTTTCAAACCTAAGTTCCTCGTTAACGTCCTTAGCCATACTCAACATTTTTTGATTATATAGAAAGCCGCGTAGGGATCGCTTACGGCGGTTATTTAAGTCACAATTAATGGTAATTTCTGGAGAACCGTTATCTTTCCACGGTTGAGACCATATTGTGAACAAACATTCCTTGATATCACTACCTTCCTTTAGTTGACAATTATCTTTAGTGCCTCTAGGACAAGCACTAGTGCCCAGTTTAACTTTAATTTTGTACAACATTCCTGAAACCACTTGTTTGGAGGCTTCCACGATTTCCACTATCATAGGCTCGTTCGTGCCTTCAGAGTTTTCTGAAAATTTTTGTAGGCCTTTGTTAGCGAGCCTCTGTATTTCAGGATCGTTAATATTTTTGCTCTCTGGTGCACCAACAAGACCAGATTGGTCTCTTCTGCTCCTTACTTTAGAAATAGGAGTCAATTCATTTGTGGGTAGAGATCGTTTTTGCTGATTATGTAAGTTGCAATCGACGGAAATTTTAGGAGATCCGTGATCTATCCAAGGCTGAGACCACACAGAGAATAGACATTCTTGAACTTCACTTCCCTCCTGTAATAGACAGTTGTCTCTAACACCCTTTGGGCATGTACTTGTACCTACTTTAGCCTTTATTTTATATAAGAGTCCAGATACAACTTGTTTTGAAGCTTCCACAATTTCTGTTATAATAGGCTCGTTTGTGCCTCGATAGCTTTCTGATAATTTGTGTAGGCCTTTGTTAGCGAGCCTCTGTATTTCAGGATCATCAATATCTTTGCTTTCTGGCGCACCAACAAGACCAGATTGGTGTCTTTTACTCCTTACTTTAGAAATAGGTGTCAATTCATTTGTGGGTAGAGATCGTTTTTGCTGATTATTTAAGTTGCAATCGACGGAAATTTTAGGAGATCCTTGATCCATCCAAGGCTGAGACCACACAGAGAATAGACATTCTTGAACTTCACTTCCTTCCTGTAATAGACAGTTATCTCTAACACCCTTTGGGCATGTGCTTGAACCTACTTTAACTCTTAATTTATATAACATTCCAGCAACAACCTGCTCCGTGGCTTCTACAATTTCTACTATAATAGGCTCATTTACTCCTTGATAATCAAGAGAAAGTTTCTTTAGTCCTTTCTTTGCGGCATCCTGGATTTCAGGGGAATCAATGTTTATTTTGCGTGGTGCACCAGGTGTTCTTCTGTTCCTGTGAAATGTATATGATTTGTTCATTGTGGGATCTGCTGATATTTTTTTTGGCACAATAGTTTCTTCTTTAACTTCTTCTCTGATTGTGTTTGTATTTGATTTTGCCTCTCTTGTGGGCAAATCGAAATCCTTCAAAAATTCATCAAACTCTTTAGTTTTATCTTCAAATCCTTGGGGCTTTACATCATCGTCACTTTTGTTTACCAAAATTTTTATTACAGGATGTTCCGTAACTTCTGATTGCTGTGGGTCTTCTGCTTTCGCAGTTGCAGCATTGGTGTAATTGTCAAGAATATCTCTCAAGTTTTCTAATGCATCAGCCTTTTCAGGGTCGATTCTTTGTTTGTCAGGTGAAGGTGTCATAAGTGATTCAACAGCCAATGTTGAATAAGAATTGATATTGCTTTCACCTACTATACTGTTGTCTACAGTACAATTATTTCTTGTTATTCTACGAGTAGATTGCTGCCAGGGTAATTCCTCAAATGTAACCAAACATGTCTTAACAGGAAGACCTACTTGTACAGAACAATCTGACTGATCTATCGCATTCTTTAGACAATCAGATTCTCCTATATGTAATAAGAGGTGATACTGTATTATGTTAGACGATGGTGGAACACCTCGGGTTACTTTAACAATGTCAATTACTTTATGCTTGAAATCATTTTGTATTAATTCATCCATTGATTTTGCCACCTGTTCTCCAAAAGCAACTAAACCAGGTAAATTTGGATTAAGTTCATAAGGACATCCTGGACAATATTTTGAATTAGAAGCTCTCATAGCAATAAACGGTTTATCATTGTTATCTCCAGTTTTCTGAATCTCATGATCCAGTTCAACGCTCTGGTTACCAATAATTTGTTTGTCTAGATTTTCAATGATCTCATGCTCTTGAGTATTTTCTTGCGTATGTGCTGGCTCATCTTGTGGCAACTGAGGATACAAATACATGCACTGTATAGATTCCCTTAGAACATTTATCTCTCCTTGTTCGTGTTTTTTCACCTCGATAGTGCATGCTTCTCGTGGACACGGTTCTAATGATTCTTTGCATACAGGAGTTAAATCAAATGTAAGTCTATATATCACGTATGGTGATTCATCCTGGAAAATAGAACATAGACAATCGTTTGCACATATAATAGTCGTACGTATAATAGTATATATTACTAACTAGATGAATTATAAAAAAACTTATGTTACTGTTAATAATTACAATTTATTTGTCAAATAAATTAGACAAAGAACGTACCAATTTTTGCGCACTAATCAGGTTACCACCCTTATATATATGATGCGTCGGAGAATCTTCGTTCAAAGAATTCAAGGCACTTCGAATTAATGGCTCCGGTACATTTTGCACAAGCTTAGTTCCGGGGCCGCACAATACAGGAATTGAATGAAGAAAAAATAAAAATAGAAAACGCGCTACACACATCAGAAAGCCTGCCATCTTTCTGAATGCACGTTACCGTCTGAACTTCCACTGACGCAGCAGCTAACTTTCCTTGATTCTTTACACCTCCTTCTGTCGTTGAATCAAAGTCATTCTAATCAGTCTTTGTTTCTTTGTAATTAATAGGTAAATATTTTGCGACAGAATACTCACGAAACGTTCACAGTGCCAGGCACAGATCGTCACAGAGGCAATTAATCATAATTTCCGACTTAAAATAGAAATGAAAGATTGAAAAAAGAGGGGTAATCGTTCACGCGAAAAGAAACATGTATGTTTTCAATATAAGACTTGCATCACCACATACGCAAAAACATTTTTTATATTAATAGCGATAAGATAAATTCTATAATGTAATGTTTAATAAACTTATGCACGCTAAAAGATAATACATATTTAAAGACAATATACTGCAAAAAGTATAGTACAATAAATGCATTATAATTCGATATAATGTTGTGATTTCTCTGTCATTTTATTTGCTCGTTAAATAACGTAGGAGGCACACACGACTAAACATGACGATGGTAGTTTCGAAATGTCAAAGTATATTAACTTGATTGAAATTATGCATTTTTTACTATTATGATGTAATCTTAGGAACATAACGGCGTATTAACTTGTATTGTTTGTGCCTCGTAAATAAAAGATTACCAATTTATTGGTTTATGGTAATGAAGTTGATAACAGTGTACTCTCTCTCTCTCTCTCTCTCTCTCTCTCTCTCTCTCCCCCTCTCTGTGGTAATTAACCGTAATTAATCAGCAAAAGTATTATTTAAAAGTTTTTACACACAAGATGTACATTTAAATGGTATTAAAATATATTTGATAAAATCAATATAAACATGTATCATTCGATAGAATGTTTTCTAGTCGAGTGTGTCCATTGCGTGATACAAGGTTAATGAAAAGAAGAGAGTGGTCAATTCAGCGGTAATTTCGAAAATGATTTATTACTTTTAACGCGCAGAATGCATTTGAAAATTGTCCGATATTAATTCGAGTTTACCTTATTCGCGTTTCAATTTTCCCGCCAGTTTCAAGATGCGATACGATTATTCCTCGGTTTCCGGTTGTCAGAAGACCAGCAGCTGTTCCATCGTGTTGATCATTTGCGATAGCTGCAGTGTCCACGAAAAATACCACTTTTCGACAGCGACAGTGCATCACCGCTATATGGAACGCTGCTGATTTTGATTGGTAAGCAAACAGATTGTTTGGTTCTTTATTATTTTTATCGAAAGTCTATAGATGGATACGAAACGTACGCGAGGTAGCACATTGCGGTAAAGTTGTTGTATCGATTTTCTGCTTCACTCTAGCTGTCTTTCGCCCGAAGAACATACGTTATTTCTTTTAAGATATCGTTAAATTAATGTTATTCATACGTTCTCTTCTTTTCGTCCAGTTCGTCGACGAATTCGTCGATGACAGTTCTGTCTAGGCAGTGTTCCAATTTATACCCGGTTCGTCTATAGGTGTGTTTCTGTGACAATTCTATAATCATTGTTCTTTCTGTCAGAATTGTTTTACCTTCTTTGTACACGATACATAATTGTCGTAGTCATTTCTAATTTCCTGTTGTCCTCGTGTGTAGGATAGCTACGTCCTTGTAGGATAACTTTGTTCATTGTTGAAAAATCTTAACATCAAGAGCATGTAATATTTTCCACGTTGCTTTACGTCGAAATCAATGAATTCTTTGACAAGGCAAGCAGGATTAGGAATATGTGTGTGAACCTTATCGCATAGCTGTTTACTTCATTCAAGTGACAGAATTATCGGAAGCATTTACTCTTGCTGGGAAAACGATGAAACTTCCTTAATAAAATGACAATTTCAATTACAACAACCAACCCCTCTCACCAATAAATAGAGAATAGCTGTTCTGACATTCGATTCGTTCACAATTGAAAATCAGCGTAACGAATCGTAACGATTCTCGGCCAATGCAAATATTTTCGTCTATGCTTTAGCGAGCGAACTCGGTGGCGATGGCTCGGTTGGTCAGTTTAAAATTAAAACAAAGTACAGCAGCAATAGCGGCGCCTCTGATCGCTCGACAGAGTTCTCATTGGTCGATTTTCCGTCGAAAAAGTCACGTGGCTTTGTTGCCTTTTACTCGAATCTTAAAATAAATTGACAATAAGCGGCACGTTTCGTAAATGGTTGCGTGCAATAAAGGAAAATATTTATACACCGTTACGTGTCTCTGTTGCCTGTCAACATTGTCTCCGATGCAACACAGTAATAAATTATTTATGCCGGACCGTTCAGTAAGAACCCGATAAACCGTACGAACTTATTGAACAGGTGACACGATCAATATTTTAGTGTATTTCCGCATCTCATGAGTCATGCGTGCGTCATTGTAATCGCGTAGCCATCTTCTAATCGGTACGTACCAGAATTAAAGAAACAGGATACATATACGCCTACGTACCGACATCGGGTATGTGCGAGTGGTTTTTTCCGCGCACTCGCACGTGTAACCGAGCCGAGCCGAGTTCGAAATTCTATAAAGCGGGTTACACTTTGATGCTTTAACGGAAAGGTACATTTTTAGCGGCTAAACTAAAAATAGTGGTTGACAACAGGAGTCGGCGGTGTATGAATAGTCCCCCCTCTTCCCCGGTGTACGCGGAGTTCGATATATCGAGTATGCCGTGTTCCCGCGCCTTTACATCGCAGTTTCGTAATGCAGCGTTTGTATTGGTGCTTTCCATTGTCGCGACGACGACGGTCTACCCCCACCAAGGGGCGGCTACCGCGCCGAGCTCTGCGACTGCTCGTTGGCGCTAGTTAGCTGACTACCCACCTTCGACTCGCAGGGAATATTCGGCTCCGTCGAGTTCGCAGTTTCACCGGTTCCCCTTTGCGACGAGAGTGGTCGGACAGTGATAGTTGTTGGATTCATTCGTTCCTTCGTTCGTTCGACGGAAGTCGTCGGCGAACTCTCTGTGATCGGCGGAGACACCCATCGGACACAGCCGCATCGACGAGTCACGGTTAGTAACAATTCCTAGAGCGGTGTGTCACGGTACAGTCTTGTCCCTATGACAGCCCCTATGATTCTCGGGGCTCGATCGTAGCGAAATCGAACAGCTTCGATGGTTTCGCTCTCGCTTCGAGCCTGCCCTCCATAATCGAGCCCCTCTGTTCTCGGAGGCATGCTCTGACCGGTGGACATTCGAGAATCCTCGGAAATCTTGACCCACGACTCGCGCAGCGGTTCTCCTCCGTGTTCGATAGATCGTTGCATGTTCGATGGAGATTCGATCGATACGGATACCGAGCGAGAGAAAAACATCATTCGTCCGATAATACTGCCCTCGATGGAACGCTGAATCGACACTTGATTAGATTGATTACTCTCGATTACTTCTCGAGGATCGATCGTTTCATGAGATGTAGACCGATGAAAATAATTAACCGTCGAACGAACCGGACAGACTTTTTTCTTCCACTGCGCGTACGTTGCGATCGCGAGTAGATTCGCTTTTCAAACGCGTCCTCGCGCGTTTCTCGGGTAAGTACGCGAAGCGAAGGACAGCTCCGTTGGAGATAAAAGCTCGACGATGCCATCGATTCCTCGGTATTGTTGTGCTCGTTCAAGGATCGAGGATACTTTTTAAATAGATTTGCTGACGGGTGCGCAAAGTTACCGAAATAAGAGTACCACTGTCTTCGTGGACCTTGAAATATTCGCGGAGCCGAATCTCCATGGCAAAGTAGCTCAACGAGTAAGGCTGTCCTGGACACGGTTGGTCCTCGGAGTTATCGGTTGCGTGAAATAATGTCACGGGTAAATTGAATAGCTACGGTTATCCACGAAGGGTGTGCCTGACGTTTTTCTTCCTTGTAATCGCAGGTAGGTTCCTAACCAAAACAGAAACCAAATGTTTTCTGTCTTCTGACGGCAGTAGAATCTTCATTACCGATGATATACCGAAGAACATGTTTATCGACTGCGACAATTCAGATCTACGTTGGGGCATTCCACGATATAGTGGAACAGTCGTTTTTCTAGTTTGAAATCGAACCGAAAATGCGTGTAGCTCTATTCAACGGTAAAATAGTTAATGAATGTATATAATATAGCTAACAAGTAATGAAGTTAGCTATAGCCTCTAATGTGATAACGCGAAGGGGAAATTGGCAAAGGTCTCGATCCCCGTGACGATTTCTGTACGAAAGATGAGGTCGCGTAAACGTTCTGCTCTCGAGAAGAGAACCGGCAACTTTATTTATTGATTTCTTAATGTCGGACGTGTATGTGTGCGCGCCGTCTCTTGCTCGCCCCGCGTGCACATGAGGGTACGATAGGAGACAAAAACTCTTCGTAGACCGTTTTCTGATTTTCAACCTTTAACCAGAATTTGTTGAAACATTTGAAAATTCTTTCCGTTAAAAATTGAACTGTCTATGGGAATCTCGTGTACGAATCTTCGATTTCAGACGCGAAAGCAGTTCAGTAGACAGATGCCTTTAGACGACTAGGTGACTTGAATTCGAATTGCGAATAATTGGAGTATTCGATGGAACACAAACGGATAATAGGTTTACACAACGTTACGTTAGGGACAACATCGACGATCAATGGCACGAGCCAGCGATGTACCAGCATTTTTTCCGTGTTGTGTGTAAATATGCGCGCGTATCAGTGCGGCCGGGACTTGGATCGCTGGAATTTCAGGTCATCGACAGTGACTGGTGGCCTGAACAGGTTTTACCAGTGCCAGTAACAGCTGATAGTCATTGATAACGGAGCACGCGTGCGCGCTCTCTCGCTCTCTCGCTCTCTTACTCTCCCTACTTCTCCACCTCTACCTTTTTACCTCTCGACCTCTCCACCTCTCCACCTCTCCACCTCTCCATCTCTCCATCTCTGTATCCACCTATCCTTGTACAGGATGTTTAAAAAATATATGTCACGTATAAAGTTACCAAGGATATAAGAAAGTGCTCGTAGAATTCAGCCTGACCTTGGAGAAAGGGGGTTAACTGCCACCCCTATACGAGGGACGAAATTAATAAAAACCGTAAGAGAGCAATCTTGATCGTTCAGTTTTTGTTTCCTCGAGGAAATTGCTTCGATTATACGAGTTAAAACTTTTTATTGCTGTCAGGTTCTAAAAGGAACCGTGGATCGTAAGTTAGTGGTGGTCGTAACATATATCGGAACAGTCTTGCACAGGTGCAACAGAGCACGCGTGACACTGGAATGTTTTCGTTCCTCTTAATTTAATTGCCACGTTGCAGCTGCGACGGAGGCGGTCCGGCTGATTAGCGCACACGCGACTCGCGAGATGCGGAAATGCACTGAATTATCGATCTTCCGACCGGTTCTATATTTATTTGCGGTTGTCTTTCATTGCTCGCATTAATTCCCCTCTGCGCGGTCGAGAGTGACTCCGTCCAACTCGTCGTCGTTATGTGGCCCGTATCGTTCTGGATTTTAACGCGGTCGTAAATCGCGTGTCGCGGTGGTCACCGATGACCGAGCATCCAAACTGCTCGAGAACAGTAAGACAATTGATGTCGAGTGAAAATATTTGCCAACTGGAATCGAGGCAATAGAGCATAAGTACCGTGATACCGAATCGTTGACAGTTATTTCTACCATTTGTCGAAGAATAGGTATTATTCAAGAAAACATTGGAATAATTAGACACTTGATTTGTCCAACTTACTCGTTGACTCGATATTGCACAACAAGGGGCTAATTTAAATGTTCATACGCGACTAGCTCTAAATTATTTTCGTTGCGCAACACGGTGTACGCGTCGTTGGTTGCTAATAGTAGATTATAATATTTACAATAATCGGTTGACACAAGCTGATTCGATTCTGAACGACTCCGTTTAGCTATCGGGAGACGAGCGATCGTCGGCGGTATCGGGGAATCTATTCCGGTCCGCGTTTAATAGACGCAATGGAATTGCATAATATTTTGGTTGCACGAAGCCCCTGCTTATCGCCCAAGCTCCCACGGTTGAATATTCCACGTGATTCGCGTTCGGGCACGGAAACCTTGAGCCCTTCCTCGCGAAGACGCGGACCGTTGCATCGACTCGCGTTACCGCGCGCTGTTATCTCGCCGGCGCCAGCCACCTTTATCCACGTGGCCACGGTAGGCAGCGTCTTATCTGCCAGCTATCTCTTTCGAGAAGGAACATCATCCGCCAGTTATTTAATCGACTAACACCGATGCTTTCGAATCGCTTCAAGGTACAGCTCGAATATTAACCCTTCGAGCAACGTTCTAAACTTTGGTATTTACCATTGCCCTCTGTATGCCGCACCGATACGTGAAATATTTCAAGAAACTAGCTTTAGCTCCCTAATTCATATATGATTTATCAATGAATCCATTTCAAAGTATCTCGTCTACATCTAATTAGAACATATTATAAAAACTCGCTCGAAAAGTGCTACGCTTTTCTATTTTTACAGGAGAATCCGTTAAATAGCGCGATCCTTTTTCGATTTCTAAGCGGCCAATGATACAAATGAAAAGAGATTATTTATCTGATTGTACGAACGATAGGCTGGCAGGGGTTTCTAGAGTAGAGCAACTATATAGATAGCAGCGTAACGGAAGAATAGCGATAACAGGTAATTAGTAATTGTTTCTATTTATCTTCGCCGTGGCGGAACGAGCGATACGAAACGCTCCAGATTCTCGTGGCAGCCCAGGCGTTCGCAACTGCTAAGCGTTTAATACGATTAATCTGTAATCTTTATAGAAATTCTGACCTTAGCTTTCAAAGATCATTTCAGTCTCAAAGATCTCCAATGAAAATGTGCTCGTAAAATGAATAGCAAGCTTCGTCTCTTTCCAATGGACGATTAACGATAAAGGTGGTTTCCTCGAGTTGCGAGAGAAATCGTGGAACAAGGGGTTCGCCGATTAACGTGCATGTGTAGCGTGTGCGATCAGCGTTACGACACAAGTCGTAATCGAACCTGATCGATACACTGCGGGCATCTCCATGCAGATGTAGCTTTTTACGGGCTCATTTATAGAGATTGCGGGGAAGAACAGTTTCTGTAGCTTCGTAAAAGCCGGCGTACTCGAAAAAGTCGCGGTGAAGACCTCGTTAAACTTCCCCGAAGATTTGATCGCGCATATTCGCGAGACCCGGAGCGTTTGAGACTATTTGCTCGAGCAATATGGAACCCGCCTTCTGCATCTTGGATCATTATTAGTTCCCGTTACTTCGTTCGGTAGATCGGAAAGTTCAAACATTATAAATACCGAACGCGAGCGGGCTTCCCAACAGTTGGTTAATCGAATTTAATATTTGATTCGAAGCTGCATTTTAACTCTTCGCAGTCGAAACATTTTCACCGGAAATGCTCAACATTTTTCAATGACATACAAACATATGTGCACTCTTCGAAACTAGCTGGCGAGAAAACATATTGAACTTGATAAATTAAAAGAAAAATTTCTGTATAAAATCTAATCGTGACCGAGACGATGACATCTTTGCTCTGAACGCGAATGTTACTTTTCACTGAAATGAATCTCAGCTACAGGACAGCTAGAAGTAAATGTGCGCCAGTGTAAATTCCGCTGTTGGCGATAAGTAACAGCCATTGTGCGCGGATTATTCCGCTGAATGATGCAAATGGGCGAAAGGCTTTGGGTACTCGGAACGGTGAGCGATCAAAATCCTCGTGAATGGGTCGCGATTCCGTGTTTCGCAGTTGAGCCGAGCGCGATCGTCGCCACGTGAGAGGAAACCTGTTTCCGAAGGGTCTCACGAGGGTGTGTCGCCGGCAGGAGGCCCTGGGACGCATTCGTTTCGAAATAATATTCCGGCCGGCGCGCCGTGGCGTGCCCCGGCGCGGTGGTTATTGATTTCCCGCCGAGTTTTCCCTCGGCCGCTCTTACTTTTTCGTTTATCGAGCATTGATATCCGTTTGTTCGGAACGGGCCGAGCGGGCCGAGCGGGCCGAGCAGAGAACGAGCAAAGGAAAATAAGAGCAACCGAAAAACTCGGACAAAACTCGATGTTACTTGAAAAACCACCCTTTCCCTGAACAGTCAAACGAGATACATGTAAATGTACCTTTTACGTTCACCGTAGAGTGGAATCCCTACGAGTCTCGTTCGATGTTACAAGATCTAACGCAATTGTTTTCAATTATTCGTTTCTCTTAGCGTTTCGTCACCCTTATTAAATTACATTTGAGACGCGAGACGAGTCTATAAAAGGCGAATATGCGCAATGAACATTTCATCGACCAGATTTGTTCGGTAATAAATAGGATTGAAGAAATATCGAGCTGTGCCTTTGTTGGTTTTGGCCTATTTCCTGTGAAAACCTGTGCGCCGCGTCCTCCAGATCCACGCGACCAGTCGGCCGTGATCTTGGCTAGGCGCACCGTGACCAGGCGACGCGGTAGACACGGTACCTTTCACCCTGGAAACGAGCCAACTTTGTCTCGAGGGCAAGGACAGGGCTCAGCCAATTGATCACGCTATAACTCGCGCCTTACAAGACAAGCCTCGCGGTAGGGCGGCTCGATTTCCTCCTTTATTGTCTGCTCCGCGTTCTTACCCAGCGATACGCAAACGTTCGAGTGTTATACGGCTCCTTTATTCCATTTCTTTCGCGACTGCCCTCTTTAAAGCCGCGTCATCCGCGACACTCGACTGGAGGCCAGCCATTCAAACGTACAAATCCTTTCGAAAATAACTGAAATCGTTACCGGTAGATTGCGGATCTTTGCGCAAATTCGAACGTTTCAAAGTGCAATTGGAAATTTGAACAAAATGAACATCGAATAGCTAAGATAATCTTCCTCAAAGTTTAAACTGTTTACGGAAATTGTTCCGTAACACGGTTCTGCAAGGCGGTAGCGTAAAGCGATAGAGCACACGTGTGATTTACCCGATGATTTTAAAGGTACAATTATTTCAAATTGTATAGCCTGCATCTGCCTAGCGGTGACGCTAGTTTCTCAACTGTAGTTTGTGTTCGCGTACCTTGTAAAATTATCGGCTAACTACCCCCAATATTCCGCGCGTGTCGTCAAGGAGCTGTAGACAATCGCTCGACAAAAGAACATTACAGTCGAAGTTGACCAACTGGGTTCTTTCCCTTGGTACTTAGCGACCCATTTATTTAAAAGCTGTCGCAGCTTTAACGCGATCCATTCTGCTCTTATCTAGCTAGACGATTTTATTAGTCGAGAGCAATTCGATCGATGCGCGAGTATTTTTCTTAACGCTTTATTTCAGGTATCTAGAAATCTCCTCGGAAATCTCAGCGACGATCCCAGACCGAAGAAAGACGAATAGGGTTTCCTTGCTTGGCACCTAAGCCAGACTGATATTACTTTAATTAACTCGGAATCCAAGCGACTGCTGTCGTCCAACGAGTCTAGATTTTTTCGCTAGTTTCGAATTACAACGGTGAAACTTTCACGAATCCTGCTCGGTTGAATTTTAACGAGGCCGAATCTCGGTAGAGGAAAAAATTCAGCGATCGAGCGATCATTATTACCACTGCTGATTGCATCAGTGCGACTCGGTCGCTCTTTCCTGTTAGCTTCCCACGAGCGCGACCGCGACCGCTTCCTCCCGCGGACGTTTCCTGTGTTCGCGTGATTAAATTTACAAGTGCCAATTAAGAAGCCCCCGCGTCGTCTTAATCCGTTAACGAGATCGCCTCGGGGAGACTGATGGTCGAGATGGTTCGTCCATGGTCTTGGCTCTCACGGCAAAGTCGAAGGTTGGAGTCCCGGATTCGGAGATCGGCCTCGACGATTAGCTTCCGGGGAGAAGGAATTTATCATCGAGTCACACGGTGCGGTCGAGCGATCTCGGTTCGAACCGTTCCTCGAAGATATTTGTTGGCGATGCCTCGAGGTCACTTTCTGGAGTCTTCGATCAACGTTTAGTCTGGACTTTTAGGCGAAATCCAAGTTATTTTCATGTAGTTTGACGGCAGAACTACTAAACGGGTTAAATCGGTGATTTCTGATTTCTTGAATTCTTCCCCAATTGTTCCAAAGACAAATGCTTCTGTGAGAAATTAGTGAGGCAATCGCCTTGGTAACAAGCAAACTGAATAAGTTGACATTAGAGCACCAGGCGATTCCGGTGTACGAAATGCGCGAAATGCCGGCCGGTTGAAGCGTGAACCGTTTACGCTCGAGAATTTGTAAAATATTCGAAAGCTTCAACGGAGGAAACTCGATTATACTCCTACACACTGGGCAAACAGGGAACTACGCGCCGAGCTTTTGTTATTTGAACAATGAAATTCTACGTTCGCTTCTTTGTATTCTGGACAAGAAACTTCCATGAAGCCGAAGCGACGACGTTCGTTTCGAAAGTGGTGTCTCGAAAGGTTGCTGCATATTAGAGGAGGAGCGTCGAGGAATAAATGTCCCATAACCCAGTGCGCGAAAGAGCGAGGTCGGAAAAAGTGTGACACCTACGGTGGCCGCCAAACAGTAGAACAAAACAGAACTCGGTCCCGTGCGAGCGAGAGAGCGAGACGATTAATCGTTTAATCGTACCTTGAACAGTCACGCGAGCCGCGGCAGGAGGATGGGAAAATGCGAAACGCATACGTGGCCGGAGGTCCCAGCTGATCGGTCCTCGGTGTGGGTGGCGGTGGTGGTGGGACACGGGCAAGCTTTGCAGAAGAGGCGGGAGAGTAGGAGGATCTCCCGCGGGGGAGAGAAAGCGTGACGAGGACGATGTGCTCGCGGTCGTGCGTCTGCGCGCGATTCGGTCGGTGGGTCGGTCGGTCGGTCGGTCGGTCGTCGGGTATTGATTTTCATAGGAGAACGCGGTTACACACGTATCTCCACCACGTAGCGGCGTGTACATGCATCCGCGACGTGGGAGGCAGACCGGGTGCTGACGGCGGCGATAGCGGCGGCGATAGCGGCGGCGATAGCGGCGGCTTTCCCCAAATCTCTGCGTGAAATTTCGCAATCGCCGGCCCTGGACACCGCGAAACAGATCCGCTTTGCGTTACTCCATCCCCTAAGAGAAGCTCGAACCCTGCCTCTCCTGGGTCGTTGCTTAGTATCTGTGTTGGGTACGTGTGAAAGTTGTTGCCGGTTTAGAGGAGAGTTTAAGTAACGTTCTTCGAGATACTTCAATGTTTTCATGTTCCGTTGGTACTTTAATATTCTCACGCTTCAACGTGTCATCGTTTTAGTACATTCTTACATTCTTCTACATTTCTACGATACACGGAAACATTTCGACGTTTCTCCGAAGCCACGATTCTGATTGCTTCGGGGGCACGATGATCCTCCCGCTGAACGAGCAAGAACTTTTCCTCGTACCCAATGCATCTACATACGTATCTCCGCGTTTCCCAGGGTCTCGGCTCGATCTTGGTCTGAGCTTGCAGCGCCTGCTGGATATTAGTCTCCCTCGGTCCAGCGAGGCGCAATCCTTTAAATCTCGCTGAATTCCCCTCTAGTCGTTCCGGGCCCTGTTACCGTAACAGCCTCTTCCCGGAGGAATTTTATGGAAGCTTGCCACACGAGATCACGAGTTTAATCTTCCTTGTTTGCTCGGTCCTGTTGCAGAAGCTACGAGTACCCGGGAGCTGTAGGAGCTGCCTAGGGTAGAGACAGCACAGAAGCCAGCAGGAGAGAAGGAACTCGCGGCAGAGGGCCACTCGTCAGGCAGCCGACAAGATGCCTGCACCGACCACACCAGCAGGACCGGCGGAGGGCGGGCCGCCTCGCACCGAATTGCAAGAATTGCAGCTGAAGGCCGATCAAACTACAGATGAGGTACGTTTCGCGCATCTCTGATCTGTCCGTTGCTCCTTCGAAATTGAATCCCCGTCGATACCTCTTATACTTCGTTGACGCTCAATGAAGTCGGATTCAATGGACGCGTTCGTGGCGATCGGAACTATAGACCTCGAGAACGACTTACGGAGACCGGAGAAATTACAGATCGGATCTATCAAAAAATTGAGATACGCTCGCTTTAGAGAATTTGGAAAGTATCACCTAAGGAATTACATTTGAGACTTGGGATAAAACTACCGGGATTCGCCGAGCGGAAACTAGTTATCTTACGCTGTATTTCTTCGATCGAACGAGTCATTTTGTCGATGAAATTTCACACGAGTATTCTAAAAATTAGATGGCGCACGAGCGGAAATTGAAAGGTTCCACTGACATCACTTCTGTTCCTCTTCTGTTTCAGTCCCTGGAGAGTACGAGGCGTATGCTGGCGCTATGCGAGGAGGTGAGTTCGTCTCATCCCTATGAATATATTCTCTCTCTCTCTCTCTTTCTTTCTCTCTCTCTCTCTCTCTCTCTCTCTCTCTCTCTCTCT